TATAACATTTTGTAGAGCTGTTTCTTGTTTGCTGGAACAACTTTGTTTGGTAAGTGGAATCTAAACATATTTTTAATTTTTTGGCTTTTTGTTAAAAGATGCATTTCTGGGTCAGCCATTTTTTGAACTAAACTTAGAATTCAACCGTAGCATCTCATTGACTCAATTTAATCAGCTCTGAATCGGTTGATTCCTGTATTTCAACTTTGAGTTGCCCATGGCCATCATTTGTTGCATTTGATTTGTTTATTAGAAGCATGTTTGCATTGCTCTTGTCATAGGTTGTCATAGGTTGTCAAAGGTTGTCATAGGTTGTCAAACTAGTTATTGCTATGCACTGGCATCATTTTCTTTGTTTGGGCGTGTGCGTAAATGGAGAATGTTTGGATCGGTCTGTTCGGCCGGGCCATATTTAAAGGGAGATTCGGTCAAAGATCTAAGCATGCTCCACCACCTATTGGTTGGTCACCAATAGAAACGCTCAGATTAGAAAATAAATTTTTCATCAATATTGTTTTAAGAGTTTGACTGTAATTTCCAGATCCATTTTTGGTGAACATGGAATGTTCTGTGCAACGTGTTTTAAGTATTGAACAAGGTCTTTCATGTCAAGTCAAAGGAGAGTTTTACAACTAAAATAGTTTGGTTCAAAAAGTCTTAATTCTGTAATTATAAAGTTACAACAGTCTGCTGCTGGCCAACGGTTGTCTCTGTCCAATGGTTGTGTCTGTCCACTTCATTCATTGCTATTTCGCCAACCCAAATAAATTATTGAATTGCCCATCACCTAGTAATTTATGTTTGTACGCTCATGTTTTCAATATATTTGGTCAGTTGGACATACAAAATGGCTGAAATTAAATTTGTTTGCCTACTCTGATATTAGGACAATTTCTAATACTAGAACTATTAGGATTTGTGCAACCATCCCATGTTGCATTAGTACTAGGATTTGTAAAAGCATCACATGTTGCGTCATTACTATTTGGATTTGTCTCCTCCATCTAGAGTCCAGGCTGGGATCCGCCCCATCTAGAGCCCAGGCTGGGGTCTCCCCCAACTAGAACCAAGGCTGGGGCCTCCTCCATCTAGAGCCCAGGCTGGGGTCTCCTCCATCTAGAGCCCAGACTGGGGTCTCTTCCATCTAAAGCCCAGGCTGGGGTCTCTTCCATCTAGAGCCCAGGCTGGGGTTTACTCCATCTAGAGCCCAGGCTGGGGTCTCTATTATCTAGAGTCCAGGCTGGGGTCTCCTCCATCTAGAGCCAAGGCTGGGGTCTCTTCCATCTAGAGCCAAGGGTGGGATCTGCTCCATCTAGAGCCCAGGCTGGGATCTGTTCCATCTAGAGCCCATTCATTTTGAGACGATGACAATATGCGCATTAAAAAAAAAGTGAAATTTAAGTAAAAAAATATTTTTTTTAAACCAAGTTATTTCTTCTCATGACTGTCAAGAGTTTGAATGGAGCATAACCATAGTGTATACGTACAACTAGCATTACCATAGTGTGTACTTACAACATGATATGCAAGGACACAGTGCTCAATTGTCCTGAGATGTCTCAAAGTGAATGCTATGATATTGCGTTACATGCACTCATTGTCTTGTCTGTTATTGTAAACAGTTTTATGTAATCATGAGATCTCCTTTGTAGATTCAGGTGCAAAAATTATGAGTGATGATGTCCTGTGGCACAAATAGTGAGTGATGATGTCCTGTGGCACAAATAGTGAGTGATGATGCCATCATTGAAATGTTATTTTCCTTGATTGCTTCAGAAAGAAATAAAACATTACCACAGTTACAATCACCACTAGTCAGAAAAATGTATGTGCTTTTGCCAGTTTACTAGTGTCCCCTGACCTGTTTGTTTACATGGCAACAACTTCATTCTTTTGACAGCTCCCCCCCCCTCCCCCATTACCATCAGCGTAACAGTTTCCCTTGTAGAGAATGTCATAGATAACAATGCGTCATTTTTAAGGTTTTCTTTTGTCCAGTTTGAAGTTGATATTTTAACATAATCAAGCAATTGATTTAGTGTGTCAAGTTCTTCTTCTGTTCATTTCAATTCACTTGCAACCGTTCCTTTTATACAACCATCAAATAATGTCAGCACAACTTCCATTGGTGTCAAATCTGTTTCATTTTGTTATCAAAATTCTAGTTTAAATTTTTTTAGTTCAAATGGATAATAATTTTAAAAAATTTTTAAATTTCTTGTAACACATTTCTTTAAATATGAATTTACATCTGTTTTTAATTCTACATTAAGGAAGTAAACAGAAAATTTACTCACCTAGCATTTAGGATTAAATGTAGTTAGCTAATATAGTCAGATCTACACATTAGCTAATCTAGCCAGACCTACACATTAGCTATTGTTGCCAGATCTACACATTAGCTAATCTAGCTAGATCTACTTATTAGCTTATCTAGCCAGAGCACATCTGCATATTCTCATTTATCTTTGTTTTGGAACTCATTCGACAAAATGCAACCACAAGAAATATTAATTATAATTGAATAGATTTATTGACATTGTCTAAGTTGAATAGATTCATTGACATAGTCTAAGAAACACTCATAAGATTGCTGTTGTCTTTTATTCAGATTTATTTCGGCAATTTTCTTCATCAAGTTATTTTGAAACTGTCTGCTATTAAATTCACTATTTGTTGCCTGACATTGGTCCTTCATTTCTTTCTACTGCACAGAATGTTCCCTAATTTTGTAAACTGCCTAAAGCAATGGGTTGTTTTTTTTTATTGTTTTTTTTTAGATATCCTCCCAATCAAAGTATTATCATCAAAAAATATTTACACAAGATGAGTCACAATATCCTGGCCAGATTTTTTAAACATCCAATGCAACTTCCCAATTTGCTGCTTTTTTTATGAACCATTTTTTTAAAAGTGCTTTCAGATTTGTAAAGTTGATTTTCTATAAAATCCATTCATTTTCTATTACATCCATTCATTTTCTATGACATCCATTCATTTTTTATTACATCCATTTTCTATTAAATCCATTCATTTCCTATGACATCCATTCATTTTCATTATTTCTTAATTATTACTTTAAAAAAGGAGATGTTGAAAGGAGGTACATTACATTTTTATTAATTTTATCACATTTTTGTGTGAAGTCAAAGGGGTTTATGAATAACTCCACTTCATTTCGCTTGATGGGTCCATGGCTCTTGTGAGCAGAAAGTAGTTCTTTCTTGTGTGGTCAATTATAATGGGACTACCTTCTGCATTTCAAGAAACGAAAGAGGATTTTTTTGTGTTAAATCTTGCAGTGTGTGAATTGTATATATTAGTATTGGTCATTGTTTCGACCATTCTAACTTTTTCAAATTGAACTTTTATTTTCTAGATTATCACGTTTGTGACATTTTATTTTATTATTAAAGATACGGTAGTTAAAATGCTTGGCATAGATGGGTGTTTTGTTCCTTAAATAAAAAACAGTCCATCAAAGTAGTCGATGCGTGGATACCAAAGATCCTCCCCTTCATATTTTATTTTAGATGTCAAACACATATTGTTTTTCTTTAAAATTATAAAACCAAATTTTTAGATTTATGTTCCTGTTGCCCGGTTCCTTACACATGAAGGCTGAGTTAGCCAGGTTCCTTACACATGAAGGCTGAGTTAGCCTCATTTTTTTAATTGAAATGAGGTTGATGACAAACTTTTGTGCTAACCATGTTTTTTTTAAATATTTTAAACTTGCTTAGATTCTCTGGTTCATGAAGGTAATGGAGCCCTCCCTGTCCACCGAGTAATGACTTTGTCCCACTTGTAAACTCTTGGACTAACTTACCACTTGCAATCTGGAGTGTTTTAAGTTGTTTGATCTTTTATTGCAAATGTTTTGTTTTAATTCATGGTTGTTCCAGCAATTAGAGATTTTGTTTATTTTCAGAATAAAATTTAACGCAGATATTGAAATGTTATTTGGCAGTTTTGTTACTTTAAAAAAATTTAAACGACACATTATTGGCTATTAGTTTAAACTACACAATATTGGCTATTAATTTAAACTACACTTTATTGGCTATTAAATGTTGAAAACTCATCAAATTTTTGGAAATGCAGCATATATCACTGGAAAAAGTTTTGGAAATATTTCTTAAAATGTAAATAAAAGTATAATGTTGTGCTATAAATGGGACCAGAGGTAGAATTGATTTTCAATGATATCATAGATTATTCCTTACCTATCAACAGAAAATACTAACTGACACCACCCACCCATTAGCATGACACCACCCACCCATTACCATTAGCATGACACCATCCACCTATTACCATTAGCATGACACATCCACCTATTACCATTAGCATGACACCATCCACCTATTACCATTAGCATGACACATCCACCTATTACCATTAGCATGACACCATCCACCTATTACCATTAGCATGACACCATCCACCTATTACTATTAGCATGACACCATCCACCCATTACCATGACACATCCACCTATTACCATTAGCATGACACCATCCACCTATTACCATTAGCATGACACCATCCACCTATTACCATTAGCATGACACCATCCACCTATTACCATAAGCATGACACATCCACCTATTACCATTAGCATGACCCCATCCACCCATTACCAAGACACCACCCACCCATTACCATTACCATGACACCACCAACCCATTAGCATGACACCACCCATTACCATTACACCACCCACCCATTATCACTACCATGACAACATCCACTGATTACCATGACACCATCCACCTATTACCATTAGCATGACACCATCCACCTATTACCATAACACCATCCACCTATTACAATTAGCATGACACCATCCACCCATTACCATGACACCACCCACCCATTAGCATTTGCAAGAAGACACACAAAATATCATCTTTTTGGACATAGTTAATTTCTTTTATGAACATTTGAAATGTTCATACTAAAAAAAGATTGCTTGTGCACACATACAACAAAAATAATTTATTTTTTTTTTAATGGTTCATAACCCATTTATTATTTGGTACATAGCTTCTTGACAAGACCTATGAGGTGTCTAAGCCTCTTTTAAAAAAAAAAAAACATTTGTAGAGGGGAAAATATATAATATCACTAATATTAATACACTGATTTAAAAATCAATATATATTTATTTACACATTTAAAAAAAATATAACTTAAAATACTTAGTACAAAATAACAAATAGCAATTTGTCAACTCATAACATGGCTGGCAATATGTTTGATAAGATGATCACAATGATGGCTGGCAATATGTTTGATTGTTCAACTTGATTGAAGCTTGGGAAAGTGCTCTTTATCGCTCCACCTCAAATCCAGGCTTGTAAATACCAATCAGATTATTTCCCCCACTTATAAACACATTATTACTCATCATTGTGAGCACACATTGAATACATCCCTTCAAGAGTAAATCATCCATCCATTTCTTTTACATTTTATTTCCTGATAGAAAAAGTTTGTACATTTTTTATCCTAATATAAAAAATTATACTCTGGGTGAACAAGATTGGCTTAATTATCTAGCGTGCCTGGCATTGTATCCCAATAGAGCAGCCTGCACAACATATGTTTTCAATTTTTTAAGTCTTGATGACCGGGAAGAATACAACTTTGTAAGATAAGAATTGAATGAAAGCTTGTTTCATGACAAGTCAAGATGAAAGGAATGTAGGCATACTTCAAGTTCACTTCTCATGCATAGACTATACCAAAAAGGCTGGCTCTTAAGTGGTTCAATAACAGGAATCAGGAAATCTATTGATGTCCATACTGAATCTCCATGTATGAAAGTGGAGACATGAAATACTTACAGAACTTGTTCATCTCATGCATACATCCATAATTTAAGCACAATAGTTGTGCACCTATTTCATATTTAATCGCATTCATGAATAGCATGAGGCACAACATATTATATTTTGTAAGAATGAAAGAATAATAGTGAAACATTAGCATCTAGAAGAATCAAAGAGTGAATGTTAATTTAAGGAAACAACCTCTGAAAAGACAATACTGAACGTTGATCTACTTCTGCCTGTCCCTAGTGACAGGATCCCTCAAGCCATCCAGGTTCTCTAGAGGTTCCTGCAGGACTTTGCCAGGTTTCTCAGCCCCAATGGTGAAATCTGGTTTCCCTGTCCTGTAGTGTGCATAGTGCTCTGTCATCAACTTCGGGTCAATCATGCATTTCAGGACAACCGGGTCCTTCCACATTCGCTCCGTCCATCCACTGATGTGAGGGTAGGATGCCGGCAAAATGTCAAACTCTGTTGACACAAGGTAAACATTTTTGCATAAAACACTTAAGCTTTGCAATTATAAAATTGGATTTATTTAATTTGAGAACCATCAATCCGTAGCTAGAAAAACCCCACCAAAAAGGGTCATATAATTCTGGGAGATATGTGCACATGAGAAACATCTCTTAGTGTATATATCTCTCACTAGAGTGTGTCCCATGTGTATGTATCTCTCACTAGAGTGTGTGCCATGTGTACATATCTCTCAGTGTGTCCCATGTGTACATATCTCTCACTAGAGGGTGTCCCTTGTGTACATATCTCTCACAAGAGTGTGTCCCATATGTACATATCTCTCACTAGAGTGTGTCCCATGTGTACATATCGCTCACTAGAGTGTCCCATGTGTACGCATCTCTCACTACAGTGGTGTCCCATTTCTAATGCTGCTACAGACTACCACTGACCACTCCATCAGCCAAGGCATTACCTGTGATGTCTTTCAACATGGGCATTCTCTCGAACCAAGGCCAGATCATGTAGTCTGAGAAGCCCACAGAGTCCCCATGGAAGTAGGGCTTGCCCAGTTTCCTCAGGTAACCATCCAAGACTTTGACATGCTCCTCCAGTCTCTTAGTTAAGTCTGGTTCCTTATAGCCTGCCTTCAGGAGACTATAGAATGCTGGGATGCCCTATGGGCACAATCAGAAACTGAGTTATCCACAATGTTGAATCTTAATTGTCTTTTAAAACTTTTAAACTGTTCTTTCTATAGAGGCAAACATTCATCTAACAAACAAAAAAGGGAAAAAAAAGCTAGTGATAACATATTTAAGCGTAATTATGGATTGGCAGGAAGAAAGGTAGCAAACAACTTATACCTTTTTTGTCCAGTGGTTAAAATAAATCTTCTCATGGGCTTTGACCAGGGGGTCACTTGAGTAAAGTTGTGGGTTGGGGAAGGCATCATCAAGATATTCTAATCAAAGGGGGGGGGGGGGGGGGGGGGAGGAAAGAATGTTAAAACTGTAAATAATAAGGCAACTGTTCAAGTTTAATTAAATTTAGACGATTGAAATTTCTGCTAAAAGCAGGATTTTTTAGATTAAACTTTAAAAGAGTGTTAAATATATCCTTTTAAATATGAATTTCAAAAGTTCATTAGAGGCCAGGGAACACAATTAAAAATAATGCATCAAATAACAGTGACCCAGCTTCATCCTCTACTTAAAAGTTGAACCAAACAACATTGTTTTAAGATTGAAGAATTTCTTTTTAAGATTAAAGAATTTCCTTTTCAAAATGGCATTCTTCATTTTATTGTAATTCATTTACCACCATAAAAATCAAATTAACCTTTTGAGTTTATTTCAGGACTTAAAATATTAAATAGAAAATTAAAGGAAAATGAATACATTACAAATTGAAATTTTATATATATCATTTTCAAATATTTTAGAAAATGTTGTTTTTTTAAAATTTTACCAGCTGTGATTAAAGATTCATAGACAGAGCCTCCATTATGTATAACCACAGGGACCTCGCCGTAAGGATTGTAATCAAAGAACCAATCAGGCTTGGAGTTTAAATCCACATTGACTAGGTCATAGTTGACACCTTTGGCAGCCAGAATGAGTCGAGCTCTCTGGAATTACAAAATACCAAACTAAAACAATTTAAACCCCAAATTACTTTATGATGAATTTGAGTTTTTCCTTAATTTGTCTTGTTGCAACCATAAAGATTTAAAACTTAGTATTGTTAATTTTCAAGAAACTTTTTCTCATTTATTTCCAAAACAATTGATTACTGGAGAGTTAATAAGACATATTCTAAGAGATTCCATCAATGTGTTCCCTCTAAGCTGTGCAGCACACCAGACCTATAAAGCTACTGTCCACAACAGTTTAAGAGTGAGCACATGAATTTTATTCGTAGATTTGGTTTCATGTCATTGAACACTAACATTTGCACATTCACTAAATTGTAGCACACACACAGAATTTATTGAGCGCACAGAATAATAAGAGACACCCTGATACTAACTTGTGCATAAGGACACATTCTCATGCTATACATCCGTAAAACTTGTCCCTCCAACAGCGGTGCGTCCGGCGTTCGTAGTTCATCTGGATTGGACATGACTGTCTGCAACAATAAAAGCACAATTGGGGGCAATGGAAGCAAGAGTTTCTCTTGCCGAGATACTGATCTTCCATAAAGCGCCTCCCTAGGTGCCAGATAGGGGAAAGCCCACAAGATATGGAGATAGAGGCCACTGGGGAAATAAATTACCCAGGGCGGTCCAAAATTAGAACCTTCCGCCTTGTAGGAATTGGAGTGATTCACAAAGGCTAGGGAATCTTACCCAAAAATTATCCGCATAATCCAAGCATGGAAAAGAAAAGCATTATTTAGGTTTGAGTTGAAGGAAATAGACAGGCCAAAGCCATACATGGGCTGTAGCACCACAGGGATGGATGGAATCAGAATTTTCAGAAAATGTAGGCAATGTAAAATACAAGTGACAAGTGTTTTGTACATAGTTATAAATCAATAGATTAGCCTAATGTAAGGCCTAAAGTTATAATGTTATATCAAAACAAGACAGGGAGAAATAATTTGTATGCATAGGGTGGGTGGAGGAGGCAATCATGATTAGTCATTTTGGTCAGTGTTTCACCAAGTGCCGTCTTAAGGCACTGGCCCACTGGGCTCTGGCAAAGGGCCTTGCGCTTCTAGGGGGCCTCACGCTTCTATGAGACTCACTCTTTCAGAGGCATCATGATTTACATATCACACAAATTGAATGATTTTGGAAATTTAATTTGATTTAAAATTCAGTAGGCAGCACGTTTCTCAATATTAGCCCACGATATTATCAGCACATTCCAAAATTATTATCATAAATGCGAATCACAAGTTGGATACTTCTTAAAGGGGAATAACTCTCGTCAAGAAGTCTTACTTCTCCCAGATATATGAATCGAAAAAAATAAAGTAAGAATTTGTGTTTACAATCATGTTAGACTAAGCCTTAATAACACTAGCTACCTCACTGTTCAGTAGTAAAATTAGTGGAGAAAAGAAGTGCTATCTTAAGGTATTGGCACACTAAGCACCTGCCAAGGATCTTGCACCTATAGGTGACCTCATGCTTGAGGGGGTCTCATGCATCTAGTGGGCATCACACTTCTAGGGGCATAATGCTGCCAATATCGTTTGAGAATATTGAAATATTTTTGGCAATATATTTTGCTTTCAAAATGAAAGCAGCAAGACCAGTTTATTTTTAAAAGTTTTTTTATTCCCACATCACTTCCATTTTTTTGCACTAGCTTTAGAAATAATTTATAATTTGAAAAAAAATTCATTAATTAGTTTCTTGGTGGGGGCTTGGGGAGGAGTAAATTAGAGTCTTACAAAAGATGTCAAACTTTCATTACTTAGTTATTTAAATGAAGAAAGTTATAGCAGTTAAAAATTTCAAATAAACTTTTTAAGTTACTGAATTTGTTTGGAAATTAATGCTGTCTCATTTTACCTCAGATAAATGACATAATACCGGTATTAATAAATATATTATAATATATATATATTAGTATTATTAAGGTGGTTTTATATAGCGCAGTACACCAGCCTAGGGCTAGGCTCACTGAAATTCACATAGAAATTAGCAAATACAGAAAATTATGCAATCAAAAACAATAACTGGTAAAAAGCTTGAGCTCACCCACCTAAGTACTATCTACCCCTGTCTAGCAATGGACAGCACCCAGCAGCATCAAACATTGTTTATCAGTTAGAGAGGGGGGGTAAGAATGAGTCAGTATAGTAGAGTTTGAAGAGATGGGTCTTCAGGGCAATTTCAAAGGTTGGGATTGTCGGTATATTGTGTAAAGGGAGAGAATTCCATTGTTCGGGGGCACAAAAATAGAAAGATCGTTCACCATATCTTTTAGTGTGTGTTCTGGGAACAGAAAGAATATGGGTGTCTGCGGAGGAACAAAGCTTTCAAAGGGGTGAATAGACAGAAAGAAGTTCAGTAAGACAGGAAGGAAATATAACAGAAAGAAGTTCATTAAGATAGGAACGAAATATATGACATCTTTTGTGAGTATTTCCTTTCTTCTTTTTTATAACCTACAAATAGATTTTTTGTCTTTTTTTATTCAACGAGCAACTGTATTTAATGGAATTTTTTTAAAAATTTTTTATCTTTCATTGATGAATAATTTTAAACAAATAAATAGTTTCAAAGACAAATTATGAAACAACATACTATTTAGATACAACTTAAAATAAAAAGGACTTGTGTAACATACATGGTCAAGGGAATCTAAATTTCAAGTAGCATTTTTTCTGTTGCTAGCCGTTTAAGTGTAGAATGATGCAAAACTAATTTAATGTATGCGCCAAAATGCATCCCATAATTTTGAATTTAGCAAAAATTTTGTGGGAAGGGGCTCACTGAGCCCTCTCGCCAAACCTTACCCAAAGTTTTGTTCTTCCTCTCCAATTAAAGTGACAGTAACAACACTTTTTAATCTAAAAAGGTTCTTGATGCCATTAAATAAAATGATTTTTTTTGAATGGACGAAATTATGATTTTCCTTTAGTTTGGTACACACAGTTGGACTATATTCTAGGGACGAAACTAAGCTAAGGCTAAAAGCCTACCCTAAGCGGAGGCTCCATTATCAGAATGAATGTATGGTTATGTATGGCGATGAAGTCAGAGCTGACCCTGGGCATCAAAATGCCTACTTTTGGTGCTAATAGATGCCCTGCCTCCCCTCCCTCTTCCCCACTGAAAAATTACCTGAAAGAAACTGATCAAACGCATAGACCAACCTAGGCCATAATGCTATTCATAACATTACTTGAATAGTAGGCTATAGAGTCAAGCCCAGTAAAAGCGGTGCCCAGGGCCAGAGTGCACAAGTAAGACAATTTAGCCGCCCCTGTCAATGTGAAGTAAGTGGAATTTTATCATTTAATTCACTATTAAGGACATATCTTCGTCATATCTTACAACTTAAGATGAGTTTGTCACCCCCTGATATTGGCGCCAGGGATTGCCGGCCCTCTTGCTCCCTCCTTCGCACGGCACGGAGTATATAGAGGGTTATTAGGGCCTTAGTGCATTAATTTGCCCAGGGCCAGGGCCTATGCTGCTGTAAAGAAGGCCCTGGTTACACCACACCACTGATCACCATTCTTTTACTTTTACTAAATCCTAAGTCTAAGTCTTCAACTCTATTGTCATTGAGGATACAGGAAACTGAAGAGAAAGTAGACTTACTGCCTAACTTACTCATTTATAGTCTATGACTATAGTCTATGACTATAGTCTAACTCAAGTCCAAAGCCTAATGACACCAATGTAATTAATGAATCAATAATCAATATTGACAATATGAATGTCTGAAGGCGATTTATTTGATTTTGATAATTAAGTACAAATTAAGTAGGCCAAGTACAGTAACGTAACAGTCACTTGTCTGACTTGTTGACATTTTTTTCCCCTAAGTCTTAGTGCTTAATAGTAGCTAGTGTTGTGTAGACAAAGGCAGAAATTACTTACGTGCTTCTTGCTTCTTGTTTCAACCAAAAAACACACGCGATCTCGGTATAATATTTGACTAATGCTCTTCTGGAAATTGGTGCTCCTAGTCCTAAATGCACCAAAAGAACTATTTATAACTGACCAAAACATCCTGTTTTTTCTGTTTCTTTTAAAGCACTTAAACTACCGATGTAAGTATTCGATTCTAAACGATGCTGTTTATAGCGATTACCGATAACTTTGTTATTTAAGTATAACAATTAAATATAACAATTTGAAGATAAATTATATATATTCTTAGTGTTATTTGGTCTCTATTGGGATATTTCTGCTTTTTTTTTTCCTCACATTTTCTTAGCATCACGTTCAAGATAGATTTTAGATTGTGCGTGAAACACATAGACCAAAAGTTGCACATTATTTTGTTAGGCCTAACATGTGCAGACTTTTTTTTTTAAACAGCTAAAGATTTGCGTTTTATAGGGTTAACGTGATTTTTAAAATAATTTTAAATTAAATTTGTATATCTAATTCAATAAATGTAGGCTATTAATTATTTTTCGAAGTGTCACAATAAATTATATTTTTTTAAGCAATAATTTATATTTACATTATTGAGCCATTAATCATAAAGGCAAAAGGTAATGTTCTTGGATTAGGATAAAACCACACAAAAAAAGTGGGGTGGGGGGGGGTAAATTCCACTTAGTATAAAACTTGAAGTCTCTACAATTCTATCCTTAATATTGATCATCCTGACTTATTCGATGGATCCACAAAGTCATTATTAGCAATAGCAATGTCAATAAACTTGAAAAGTAATATATCATTGTTATGTGAAATAACAAAAATTCAATATTCGATTACAAATGTATAGACTAGTTCCGGGAGTCGTTTCCATTTAAATGATTAAAACTCTGCATCTGATTGGTTAAACAGTACGGAAAAGAAGTACACATCCAGCGATCCAGTGGCCTACAAAAATTACCTGAGTCATGGTTCATAGAAAATACCCAACCCCTACTTTCCCTCAAACAGTTTGTTTTCTATAGTGTATTAAAAGTATTCATTTGAAAGATCCATGATTAAGGGTTACCAGACGTCCGTATTTAGTACGGACAGTTTGTATTTGTAGTAAGATCAATCTTACTAACTAATTTTTTTTTTGCGTCCTTATTTGTCCGCACTTTCCTCTCGTCGTCCGGATTGTCCGTACTTGTCTTTTTGGCAGCGACGACTTGCTTATCTTATTTCCATTTGTCTAATATTATTTCTACGCTAAGGCCAGCGCAGTGAATGGTTTCAGCTCTATCTGACAGTGTAAAAATAATCTATTTATATCGCCAATGCTGTAAAAATATCACACAACGTTGTGAAGGATTTATCGTCATTATGTTGACATTTCTTTACACAAAGGAACAAGCTAGATGTCGCTTCAATAGTACTCAGTAGTATTAGTTTTACAGTAATATTTCCACCGTATCGTCAATGAGCGAGTTCAGTGGTTCCTATAATGTTTCGATTCCCGGCGCATATGCCAAAATTTAGGTTTTCACCATTCTTTTGCATTTTGCTGCTCTCTCGGATAGGCCTTCTACTTTTCAGTTAAGTGCTATTTTTATTTTATTCTGTTTTTACTGTTGTTAGTTTTGCTGCGGAGGAAAATGCTGCCCATGTGACGAAGCCGGAAAAATTGTGCCACTTCATATGTAGAAAAAGGGCCCCCGGGGCGGATCAGTACCCCCCCCCCCCCCCCTTTGTCTTTCTGAAGTCTATGGGATTTGTTATTTCAATTCACTATTAAGATCCTATCTAAATAAGATTTTGCGCCCGCTGTGACTGCTCTTTTTGCCCCATTCTAGTGGTTCTGCCCGAGGGCAATATGGCACCCAGAGCAACGAGGCGATAAGGCCTATTATGGGGACCACCGGGCCGGCCAAACTGTCGGCAGTATAAACCAGCGACACATTTTTTTTTATTCCGGTGACGTCACAATTATCCATTTCCAATTATTTGATTTCTTTGGTGTTTCTATGGGGTGGGAAGCTAAAAGCTTCTTGTACGTACGATACTTTTTTTTGGGGGGGGGGGGGGGGGGGGGTCCCAAAAAATACACACCACAAACCCCCCGGTATTGTTCAGGTTGCTGTGAGCCTCTGTGTTCGCATTTTGCATCCAGAAAATCTGGTCTGCTTACATAATTGCACTCAGTGAACAGTATGAGGAAAACAAATAGCATTAGTTGTTGCACAGGGTTACCAACGAACAACCCCCTAAAAACTTATGAAGCTAATTATTTTGTGAGATATCCGTGCTATACTACATCTACCCGACTATGTTTGTGTATGATAACCACGATTCTCATTAATGTTGAACTTCTTCTGATTATTATTGTACACGTTTTAAGAAAGTACTAAATTTTAAGGACACTTACCTAAGGCATATCAGTTGTCAGGATAGATTAAGTTATCCCCTTCTCTTGGTCCAAACAAAGCAGACAGGTCAGAATGGGTATGATGTCTATCTGTAGTCACTGTAGACTGGCTCAGCTCAGTATGAGTATGTCTATCTGTAATCACTGTAGACTGGGTCAGCTCAGTATGGGTATGCTGTTTATCTGTAGTCACTGTAGACTGGCTCAGCTCAGTATGAGTATGCTGTCTATCTGTAGTCACTGTAGACTGGCTCAGCTCAGTATGAGTATGACTATCTGTAGTCACTGTAGACTGGGTCTGGTCAGTATGAGTATGTCTATCTGTAGTCACTGTAGACTGGGTTAGCTCAGTATGCTTATGATGTCTATCTGTAGTCACCGTAGACTGGCTCAGCTCAGTATGAGTATGTCTATCTGTAGTCACTATAGACTGGGTCAGGTCAGTATTTCTATCTGTAGTCACTGTAGACTGGGTTAGCTCAGTATGCTTATGATGTCTATCTGTAGTCACTGTAGACTGGCTCAGCTCAGTATGAGTATGTCTATCTGTAGTCACTGTAGACTGGGTCAGCTCAGTATGTTTATGATGTCTATCTGTAGTCACTGTAGACTGGGTCAGGTCACTATGGGTATGATGTCTATCTGTAGTCGCTGTAGACTGGGTCAGGTCAGTATGGGTATGGTGTCTATCTGTAGTCACTGTAGACTGGGTCAGCTCAGTATGGGTATGATGTCTATCTGTAGTCACTGTAGACTGGGTCAGGTCAGTATGGGTATGATGTCTATCTGTAGTCACTGTAGACTGGGTCAGCTCAGTATGGGTATGATGTCTATCTGTAGTCACTGTAGACTGGGTCAGGTCAGTATGGGTATGATGTCTATCTGTAGTCACTGTAGACTGGGTCTTGATGCCAATCAATAAATGCTAATAAAAATCAGACAGGGCCTACGTAGCAGTGCCAGATTTAGCCATGGGTGGGGTAGGGCGGCTTACGCGGCATTAATTCAGGGACGTGCCAGTGGGGCCACATCGGGTAGGCATCAATTGAGGGTCGTGCCGGTGAGACCAAGTCGGGTAGGTATTAATTCAGGGCCGTACCTGGTGGAGCTAGGTCGAGTAGGTATTAATTCAGGGGGTTGCCGGTGGGGCCAGGTGGGTTAGGTATTAATTCAGGGCCGTGCCGGTGGGGCCAGGTGGGGTAGGCATCAATTCAGGGGGTTGCCGGTGGGCCAGGTCGGGTAGGTATTAATTCAAGGGGTTGCCGGTGGGGCTAGGTCGGGTAGGTATTAATTCAGGGACGTGTCGGTTGGGCCAGGTCGGATATGTATTATTTCAGGGCCGTGCCGGTGGGACCAGGTCGGGTAGGTATTAATTCAGGGCCGTGCCGGTGGGGCCAGGTCGGATAGGTATTAATACAGGGGCGTGAAATTGGAGACAGGTCGTGTAGGTATTAATTCAGGGGGTTGCCGGAGGGGCCACGTCGGGTTGGTTAAAAAAAAAAATCAGCCAAAATGTTGTTGCCAATAAGAAATGATGTGTTCAGTGTTGTATCTTTGCATATTTGTAACCTGTCTAGTGTAGTCTAGTCAATCTACATAATTTTAGTATGAACACAAGTCTTCAAGACGATGAAATGAAATTATTGACGTCACAGATCTACACTTCAGTAGGAACATCCGGAAAGGCCACGTGACCAGACATTAATGCAATTTACATATACTTCAAATAATACAAAAGATAATCAAAAGGATTGACAAATATGGCGTACAAATTATCTGCTACACCAGGGTGGACTAGTCCGGGAGGTTGGAGTTGCTTGTCCTGACAAGTGACATATTGTCTAAGAAAAGAGCCATACATTAAAATTTGAGTATTGGGCACCACAGGTCCTGCTGCAATACTGATAAGACAAGATTATTTTATTGATCCAAATAAATGGAAATGTTTTTTTGATTGCATTATACATTTTCAGCACATAAATAAAACAATTTGAACACAAGACATTTATAATAAATTATTTCACACAGCCATTTCAGTGAGTTCTCTTAGCCAAATAAACTTAAGGTCCTGAAATTTTGATGTCTGTGACTGGCTTACACCACTAAAGTAAGTTGACACTGCTGTAGGAGTGCAGCAAGTGTGTATTTTCAATGTAAATACCTAGGAGTTTAAAATTTATACCAACCACTTGTCTTATACTAAGAGACACACCTGATTTGATGTGTTCTTTTCAATTCTAAAAAAATTAATATGGCTCAACAACAGAAGACACATTTCAAACATCACAATTTTTTTTCTTCACAAAAACAAACCATGTTAATGAAAACACAATATATTATTGATTTGAAAAGCCTGTTTATTGGGTTGCTTTTTACAAATGATGTTTATCTTGTAAACAAACCAAAAGAATATGCAATTTTTCTTCAGTAACTCACGTCTTAATATTAAAACACAATAATGATAAAGTGTGGCTTGGACAAGCAAAACGGTTCTCTCAGTTCTCATGAATTAAAGTTAAAAAAGACCAGTAGGGTTGGCACCAACCTACAGTAGCGTTAGCACCACCTACAGTAGGGTTGGCACCAACCTATCAAAATAAACTGAAATCTCCTCACAAATTACGGTTAACATGCAATAACACAAGGATAAGAACATTCCATGTTTATATTTAGCACAAGTCCAATGAAAATTTTACATTGTAAATTGTGTTCCAATTTTTGTTAAAAGTAAATGATTTTATCATCTTCTTCTTTTTATGAATGGTTTCTTTTTTCATTAAAAAATATTATGTGATCAGCTTGTATTATTCAAACTGTTTAATTATAGCAACACATTCGCGGTTTAAATGCAAAGTTTTCTTTTTAATTTAACTTAAAAATAATATCTCGTACAATTCACTAGACAAAGTTACAAGACAATGCTAATGTCATTAAACAAGATCTCCTATTTACAACACTAGGGTAATATCTATCATCCTTATGGTAATGATAATGAATGTAATCTGTATCTTCCAATTTACAACAAACATTGGGATTTTCAGTACCAGGGTAAAAAATGCAGCACTGAAAACCTCCGCCCACACAGCAGTGTTCAAACTGAATCAAGAGTTACCAACAGTAACACGATCGTGGACAAAGTGTCTGCTTATGTAAGTTATAACTTAACATATTTTTTCTGCTTGTTGATAGATTTCAAAGTCTTTACATCAAAAAAATTATTTCTCATTAATGGAACAAAAATGCAAGCTATGTTTAATTAAGGCAGTGTTCGCCATCAAGATCAAATGTAAACTATGTTTGTTTAAGGCAGTGTTCGCCATCAAGATCAAATGTAAACTATGTTTGTTTAAGGCAGTGTTCGCCATCAAGATCAAATGTAAACTATTTTTGTTTAAGGCAGTGTTCGCCATCAAGATCAAATGTAAACTATGTTTGTTTAAGGCAGTGTTCGCCATCAAGATCAAATGTAAACTATGTTTGTTTAAGGCAGTGTTCGCCATCAAGATCAAATGTAAACT